CTTTTTAACTTTATATCTTAGGGCTAACCGACGAGGTGTTTTCTCTCAACTTTTACATGTGGAGATGTATTCGTGCTCGATCCTCTTATCGCGTTCGTTTCTCTATAAACAACTTGTATGCCGTATGCGCCTTCTTTCAAAATTATCACGCTACAAATTTCTAAATTTGTATTACAAGACATATAACGCTTAATTATAGTAGTTTTTACCCTACGATCAAATTAAACCAACAAAGATAGAGTGCACATCGGTATGCGAGTTAAAGAAAGCCGTTGTTACGCCTATTTACGCTCGGTACCTATGAAACTTACATGGGAAACCGTGTTGTGTATATAGAACGGATGTCAAACCGTGCTCTTCGAATATAACGCGGATCTCGTCACTCACAATGTGTGTGTGTGTGTGTGTGTGTGTGTGTGTGTGTGTGTGTGTGTGTGTGTGTGTGTGTGTGCACATACACACACTTGTATACACGCATATAAAATAATGCATATATATATATATATATATATGTATATATAAAATAATTACGAAATCCGTGCACCAAGAAGCATTACATTCATTCCCAACGTTTGGTCGTTCCTTTATTGAGAACGTACAAATAATATGTTTCGCTATAAGATTACACAAGTATCAGGATATCTGAAAGCAAAAGGATTGACTGTATTGCGAATACACTCTCGATCGATCGATGAAGTCGAGCTTGTTAATTAGCGGCAATCTATATTTTCCATGCAGGTTTCCGTTCATGCTTCTAAGAAACGTCACAAAGATATTACGCGATAATAAACTGTCGTGAATATGATCACATTACAATCTACTCGTAATCTGAATTTCGTAAAGAAATTTATCATGGAAAAATGACATCAACGGAGCTACAGTCGATTTCCTGTGTTCTAGGAAATTCTCTAGTCTAGATTTCCCCTCTATTCTAAGTTAGTTGTCTGTCTCTTCTTATTTCCCTTATTTCTTTTTCTTCCAAAGGATTTTAGTCATCATTTCATCTTAGATATTATTCATTTATCTAAAGCTCACGAGAGCGGGAAAAGAAGGGAAAGATTGTCTTGTTCCTTCGTTAATCATACGTGCGCTTTTTAAGATTTATATCTTTTATTTGTTGTATGAATATATTTTCACTCAAAATTCTTTATATACGTGATGCTAAGACCTGAAGTGTCAAGCTCAGGTCTTTTAGTTAATAGATAAAATTGAGATTTTGTTGCATATTTCTCTCTTGCTACTTCTTTTTAGCAGTAAGCCGCTAAATCCGCGTAAACAAGACACATGATGCTTCATCATTCATAAGAACGTATTATATATTATGTATTATTATTCTAATTCTTTAATATATTAATATACATTATATTTAATATATTTTTATTTGCTTTTTAATTATTAATCAAAAATTTTCAGAAAAATTTCAAACTATTGATATTATTTGGAAGAATTACAATTTCATCATACTATGTATACAAAATTACAAGCACAAAGTTCCTGAGAACGTCATATGTCTCGTTTACGTATGTCTGGCGATTCGATATCAAGAAACGAGTGGCAAGAGAGGGACAGTGGATAGTGGATATAGATAACGAAATCGATCCGAAATATACAATTAAATCCCATCTCTGCTCTTGTCCTTTATCCTATTCCCTATTATTCACAGATCACTGTGTAATATGATTTGGTTTATGTGCTCACGAGTTAATCTAAGAAAATGAATGAAAGCTGGAACGCATAGCATTTTCTTTCTATGTATGTGTCATTAATATAAGTTATGATTAAGGAGAAATCTTAGAATAGAAAAAATGTTCAGTTTCAATATTAGAACAGAGGAAATTGACTATATTTAGAGCACATCGAAGAGAATACATAGATTATAACCAAGAACAGAGATTTAGAAAAGTGAAATAATCACGGAACGAGTAGTGATGACCATACCATCGACACTTCTTTATCTATCGCCTAAAACACAGATAAATCTGAATCTGAATCTAAATAAGAAAAACTGCAAATTGAACGAGTGAGTAGCGTGTATTCCGTCAAGACTAAGAAGAAAGGGGCGAAGGATAGAAGGAGAGAGGGTATAAGTTGATAATTTTTGACAGCCAGTTACCTCAAATATCTCTCACGTACATCTACGCAAGAGGTAAATAAGGATAAAATTAAAGGTAATATTGGAATAACAGTATTGCGGATTGGTGGTTAGCTCATAGACACTTGTCCATTGGAGAGTAGTCTCTCAACAGCGGCGTTTATATCTCCAAATGTGGCGATTAATGCTGAAAAATGAAAAAAAGAAAGGAATATTATTTTAGGCAATTATTAAATATGAAAAGTATAAGCTATATATATAGATATATATATATATATATATATATATATATATATATATATATATATATATATATATATTATTATATATATA